ACCGGACTTACTAGTCTAACAGAGACTGGAGAAACCCCGAGAGTATGGCTTCCTGACACCCTTTTAACTCAGTACTGAAGTCACTCCTGAGGTTCATCCTTCAGCCGAAGATTACACAGGCCCATAAAACAAAATGAGACTAAATGGGCACACCAGCCCAGAGGCAAGGACGAAAAGGTAGGAGGGGACAGGAGAGCTGGTAATAGGGAACCTAAGAACGAGAAGAGGAGAGTGTTGACATGTCATGGGGTTGGTGACCAATGTCACAAAAAAAAAATGTGTATTAATTGTTTAATGAGAAATTAATTTGCTCTGTAAACTTTCATTTAAAGTACAAAAAAATAAAAAATATTTGTTAACTGAATGAATTAGCTTGAAAAAAATTAACTTGTTAAAATAGTAAACCAAAGAATGCATTTTTAAATTTATCTCCTTATTTCTTTTTAAAATTAAAAGTTATTTCTAAAAATTAATAAAACATACAGTTAACAAATCCAAGAATACCCAAAAGGACTGTAATGAAACTACTGTTCCCAGGGGGTAGCACTTTCTGTTTTAGGTGTTTCAGCTGATCATATCCATATTTATGAACATAATGTTTGTATTACTACTTCTTCACTGATGTGTTTGAGGTAGCTTCTATTGACCTACTGCCATGATAGCTGAGGACTCACAAAGGTCTGCATTTTGACTGTAAACTGAAACAACTCTAAACATTTTATTAAAACTACCAACCTAATATATCACTTTCACTTAAATGTTTGAAGCCCCCAGAAGTCAGGCAATAAACATAATCTATTACAAAATGGATCCGTATTCTGGCCACTGGCATATGTCTCTTCTGTTCTAATTTAGTTGGTCTTTCTTGGAAGGAACATGATCGCATCTAACTGATTGGAGAGAAGATAATCTACCCAACAAATGGTAAGAGAAGAACTGGGTATCTGTATTAGGAAATGAACTTCGACCTTTACATCACACTATACACAAAAATAAACTCAGAATGAATCACAGACCTAAATGGAACACCTAAAACTATTAAACTTCCAAGAGACAACCTTTGAGACTTTGGATTAGGCAAGAACTTTTTAACTAGGACACCAAAAGAATGGATCATTATAGAAAAATGAAAAAAACAGACTTCTGCCCTTCTAAATATAAAGTTAAGAAAATGAAAAAGCAAGCCACAGACTGGGAGAAAATTTTTGTAACATATATATTCAATAAAGGGCTTGTATCCACAGTATATAAGGAACTCTTTTAATTCAGTAAGAAGACAAACAACCCAATTAAGAAGATGAGCGAAAGATAGGAAAAGACACTTCACAAAAGCAAATATATGCATGGCCAATAAGCACATGAAAAGATTCTCATTGTCACTTGTGTCAGTGGAATGTAAATTAAAGCCAAAATGAAATACCAATACACATACGCTATAACCAAAAAAACCAAAACCCATTGCCGTCAAGTCTGTTCCGACTCCTATTGACACTATAGGACAGAGTAGAACTGCCCCATAGAGCTTCCAAGGAGCACCTGGTGGATTCAGACTGCCAACCTTTTGGTTAGCAGCTGAACTCTTTACTACTAAGCCACCAGGGTTTCCCACACACTATAATGGCTAAAAAGAAAAAGAAAATACCAATACCATAGAACAGCACCAAGCGTGGACTAGTATGCACAGCAACTGGAACTTTCATATGCTACTGGTGAGAATTAGGTGGCTGGTTAGCTCAGCTAACCGAAGAAAACTGAAAAAAAATTGACGCCTTTGAGTTATGGTGTTGGCAAAGAATACTGAATATACCATGGACTGCCAAAAGAAGGAAAAAATCTGTCTTGGAAGAAGTACAGCCAGAATGCTCCTCGGAAGCAAGGATGTCGAGACTACATCTCACATACTTTGGACATGTTATCAGGAGGGACCAGTCCCCGGAGAAGGACATCATGCTTGGTAAAGTAGACGGTCATCGAAAAGAGGAAGACCTTCAACGAGATGGACTGACACAGTGGCTGCAATAATGGACTCAAGCATAACAATGACTGTAAGGATGGCACGGGACCAGGCAGTATTTCGTTCTGCTGTACACAGGGTCGCTATGAGTCAGAACTGACTCCACAGCACCTAACAACAACAATAACACTGGTGGTAATGCAAAACGCAGTCACTCTGGAAAATCATGTGTCGGTTTCTTATAAAGTTAAACATAAATTTACCATATGACCCTACAATTCCATTCCTAGGTGTTTATTCAAAAGAAATGTAAATATAAGTCCATATAAAAACATATATGTGAATGCTCATGGCAACATTATTCATAATAACAACTGAAAGCAATTCAAATATCCATACGATAATAAACAAATTGTACATGGTATACTATTCAACCATAAAATGGAACAAAATATTAAAACAGGCAACAACATACATGAATCTCAAAAACGCTATGTTAAGTGAAAGAAGTAAAACACCAAAAACTATGTAATTTTTAATTCCATTTATATGAAATTCTACAATAGGTAAAACTATAATGACAAAGCATATCAATGGTTGCCTGGGACCAGAGATAGGGAGAAGACATCAAATTTGAACAGGTTTGAGGGGACTTTCTAGTGATTAAATGTTTTATTTCTTGATGGTGGTGTGGTTACATAATTGTATATAATTACAGAAATTTATCAAATGGTACACTCAAAATTAGAGAATTTTATTATTTACGAATATTACCTTATTGGACGAAAAAGAGGAAAATTAAAAAAATATATATTGTGGTATGGTTGAAGTAAGTAATTTGAAGAGCTTAGAGTGACACTTTGGGACTGCTGATGAGGGAGGTGGGAAAGGGAGATGACCAAACTCAAGGGTTCTTCTCTCTGTCAAAGCCCAACTCAGGGTCCACGTCCCTTCCACAACATTCCCCAGCAACTAAGCTAGTGGAGAAGTGCTCCTTACTATCACTTCCTGGAATACTAAATATTGAGAGCATTTTACAGAAGGTTGTTGTTGTTAGGGGCCATTGAGTCAATTTTGACTCATAGCAACCCCATGGGATAGAGGAAAACTGCTCCATAGGATTTTCTAGGTTGTAATCTTTGCAGGAGCAGATCACCAGGTCTTTCTTCTGTGAAGATGCTGGGTGGGGTCCAATCACTAACCTCTGGGTTAGCAGCTGTCTTAGTCATCTGGTGCTGCTCTAACAGAAATACCAAAAGTGGATGGCTTTAACAGAGAGAAATTTATTCTCTCACAGTCTAGCAGGTTACAAGTCCAAATCCAGGGCATCGTTCCAGGGGAAGACTTTCTCTCTCTGTCAGCCTTCTCATCAGTGTTCCCCCGGACTAGGAGCATCTCTGCGCAGGGACCCTGGTCCAAAGGACACGCTCTGCTCCCGGCACTGCTTTCTTGATGGTATGACATCCCCCTACCCCCGCCCCCCATCTCTCTGCTCACTTCTCTCTTTTATATCTCAAGAGATTGCCTCAGGACACAGTCCAGTCTTGTAGAGTGAGTCCTGCCTTACTAATACAATTGCCACCCATCCTCCCTCATTAACATCATAGAGGATTTAATAACATATAGGAAAATCACACAATACCGGGAATCATGGCCCAGCCAAACTGATACACACATTTTTGGGGGGACATAATTCAATCCATGACAGCAGCCAAGCACTTAGCTGTTGCACCACCAAGACTCCATTTAGTAGAATGTATGACCTTGTATTTGTATGAGGATCTTGTCTTGCCAGAACTTTAACAGATCCCTAAATGGTCCCTGTTTCATATTTTCTTCACACTCTGAGGAGGCAAAGGGCACCACTATGTAGAAAGATGTGCCAGTCATTCAGCCATTGTCTCTGAACACCACACTCGCTGTAGTGGGTTGAAACGTGTCCCCACAAAAGATATGTCCAAGTCCTAGCCCCTGGTACCTGTGAATGTGGCCTTATTTGGAAAAAGGGTCTTTGTAGGTGTTATTAAGTTAAGGATCTCAAGAAGAGACCATCCTGGATTATCTGTGTAGGCCCTACATCCAACAACAGGTGTCGTTATAAGAGACATAGAAGGAGAAGACACAGAGAAAAGAGGAGAAAGTGATGGGAAGACAAAGGCAGAGATTGGAGTAATACAACCAGAAGCCAAGGAACGTCAAGGGTTGCCTGGAGCTACTAGAAGCTGAGAGAGACACATAGAATGGATTCTTCCTCAGAGCCTCCGGTAGGAACCAACCCTGCTGACATCTTGTTTTTGCATTTAAAGTCTCCAGGATTGTGAGAGAATAAATTTCCGTTGTTTTAATCCACGTCATTTGTGGTAGTTGGATGTGCCAGCCCCAGGAAACTAACGCTCCTGCCCTCTCTGCTCTGGTTGGTATGTGGGCGGGGACTTTACAAACCACACATCTGCTTCTTCAGCTTCTCCTCATTAGATCTGGCAATGGGCCAAAAGAGGGAGCATGCAGCTAGAGGGTGAAGTCTCGGTCCCTTCCCTGTCAGGGCTGCCCCAGTCTCACAGCACTTGATTCCGTTTCGCTGTTCTCCCAGCACCTGCAGAACCAACCACGTGGAGTCCCTCAGAGCCACCAGTGCCTGCCCTCTGAGCAACTCTCCTCCTCGACTCCCTGGCCCTTCTCCGAGCTTCTTAGTTTTAGTAATTTCAAACTTTCACTTTGCTCCCCAGACATAGGGTTAGAAACTGCTTCTGGTAGTCACTACCATTACGATACCTCAGTGTTCTCTTTTTGCCTTTGGAGTTCTTCAATACTTTGTTAACAATTATTTCTAGTACAATCTCTCTATCAAAATACTGGTGTGTTTTCTGTCCTGAGTGGACCTCAACTGACCCAGAGGCAATCCTAGGAGTACTACGGTCTTTGGCTTGAACTTAACATGGCCTGACACCAGCCTGTCCTAGTGAGGGTGGAAGAGAGGAAGCAAAGATGGTCAGATAAGGTGGTCGTGAGGAGAAAGGCTAACATGTATTGAGCTCCTGCTGCATGTTTGGCACTGCACTGAATGCTTTACATATGTTCTCAAGTTCATGTTACAAAATTACTCAATGGTGTACTTACTACTGTCATCATTTTACAGAGGAGAAAAATGAAGATAAGACAGGATCGTTAGCTTGCCCAAAGTCACACTAATATGTGATCGAGCTGGGATTTAGGAGAGGGTTGTTTACCTTCCAGAGAGCTGGGCTGGATTGGGGTGAGAAGAACATGGGCATCGTCCAAGGAAGGTCCCTGTCCCTTGAGAATGATGCTGCTCTTAATGATGGGTGTCACAGAGGCCTCCTGGGGGAGTTCAGAGACCTGTAGAGGGCCAGCAACCTCCCCTGTCTCTCTTGACACTGAGCAGATGGTCAGGGGGCTAGGGTCAAGTACCCAGAGGCAGAAGAAAGGCCTCAGGGGGCCTGAGAAAGAAACTCCAGAGAATGTGTAGATATGAGATCCATCATCCCTGTTATAGAAGGAGATATTTCCAGCTTCACAGTCCAGGAAAATGCCCACCCGACGCAGAGGCTCAGAAGGATGGAGGCGCTTCCTCGGGAAAGTGAGAGCCCTGAGTTCCTGCTTGTAAAACTCGATGGCCCACAAGCCATGCTCCGGTGACTTGGGAATTCTTCCCTTCCGATCTAAACTCTCAAGGCAAACACCCAGGTTCCAGGCCTCCCGGTTTCCCACCTCGACTTCCCAGTAGTGCCTCCCCACGGTGAATCGCTCCTGGCCCAGAACACAGGGGTCCTTGTCGAATCTCTCAGGGTTGTCAGGCAGGTCCCTCGCGAAGACCAGCCGGCTCACACTTTTCAGATCCTCAGAGAGTTCAAGTCTGGGATTAGCAGTGTCTGGATCAAGCCATGGGCTCCCTGCAGAGAAAGGAGAGGGTCAGGCTTTTGGATTTAGGGCTCCCAAAGTTCCTGCAAATTTTGGGATCCCAGTGTTTCTCTTCCACATCTCTCTACCCTTTAGTTCCTGGTGGACACAGAGACACAGCTATCTCTGGGACCCCTTAACTCTCCCAGTTTTCTGTGCCAGGAGCCAATACAAACAGCCTATCCCAAAGCAGGGGCAAGACAACACAAGGCTGGGAAACAGGGACAGTGTCATAGGAAACTCAACAGATGACCAAGTGCATTTCATGATCTAGCTCATCCTCCAATATTTTATTTCACAGACTTGTTCTAGTGTTATGCTGTGTGTGTGTATGTGTGGGAGAGACAGAGAGTAACAGAGACATAGGGAGATACAGAGATGGAGATAGAGAAACATAAACAGAGAAGAGACAGACACAGAGATAGAAATATAGGAGACGGAGAAACAGAAAAAGACAGACAGAGAGAAGGACAGAAACAGAGAGATACAAAGAGAGAGAGAGAGAATGGAGAGCAAGTATGCTGTTTCACAGCTGTGGGACAAGCCACATCTGGATAACCCTGAGAGGGATCTTCACAGCAGCAGATGCTGAGACAAACATTCTCCAAAACAGACAACATTTACAAGAAACACTTTTTCCTGTCCCAAACGTTCCTGTCACCCTGCCTCCTCACTGGCCTATGCTGCCATCACAATGGAGTTCTCTGACCTGTGGCCCACGTGGGTCCATGCCCTCTTGCCTGCTGTCTCCCACACCTCTCCTCAGAGCCATCTGCCCCCGAATGAAACTCAGTTGCACAGACAGTGGCTCTGGGGATAAACGTCTGTCTAGACTTGGGCTTCTTAAATGACAGCAGGATGGCGTTTGGCCTGAGTGCTCAGCTGCTCTGGAAGCCTCCTCTTCAACAACTGAAATTTTTAGGGCAACAGCAGTAGAACTGATTGATTACACACTAGGAGACAGTCTCAGTTCTAAAGTCCTACATACCTCATATTGTTGTTTGCTTTTGTTACCAATAAGATGTCCCAAGTCATCCATTATTTCCGAACTCTCATCTCCAATGGCTTGATACGATCAAGCCTTAGTCCTCTACTGCTATCAAACCCCAGCTCTCTCTCACAATATCTCTTTATCACCTTTCTGAGGTCAAATCCTGCTCTCCTTTGCTTTTCAGCAAAGGCTATTTGTTTGTTTCCCCTCAACCCTCCATTCCTCTTGCTACTTCCTGACCATTTCTTCACCTCTTCCTTACCCCAACCCCTTCTACGTTGAGTCTCTGTGCATGTGGATCCAGCTAACTCACTTTATGACCTTCTTTATGACCATAAACTGACTTTCTGGTACTCTCCTTCCCTTACTGAAGAATTAGCCTATCTCCTAGTCTTTCCTTCTACTCTGACAACTTCAGTATCCATGTGGATGAACCGTTCAATGCCCTCATCTCTCAGCTTCCTGATTTCCTCATTACCTGTTATCACGTCCTTGAGTCCAGTGATCCTGCTGGCTCATCTCTCTACTGTTGTAATTTCCCTTCTCTTCTTCACAAATTCTTTGGTTATGAAGCATCATACCATCTCTCTAGCAAGCATTCTCAGCAATTGCCATTACAACACACTAAAGCCAGCTGAGCCTCAGCTGATCTAACAAAAGAGCTTGGGCAATCCTGCTATATCACAAAGTGATCTCACCTTCCTCGCTGTTAGACTGCTACTCCATACTCTCTCCACACAGCTCAAACCTCCTGCCCCATCTCACCCCCAGCTTTTCCTTCTGCAGTACAGCAAGCCCTCCTCATACGCAACCCCATGCAAAATTTTTCTCTTTTTCTATTTTCTTTATCCTTATATCCTTAATCGCTCTTTACACTGGATCATCCCTTTAGGCAACACACTTACTCTATTACACCTTACCTTAAGTTACAAATAAAAACACATTTAAAAAAAAAAAAAACTTTCCTTGATCCCCACTTTCCAATTTTCAACTCTGCCTAACAGCCAACAATTCTGGAATTTTCTGTCAACAGTCTCCACTTGTGGACCTCCTGTCCCCTCCCGCTATTTACTAACACTTCTCTTGCCAATTTCAAGAGTCCTTGTTCTGCCCTCATTTAACTCCATTTCTCAGCTGCTTCTAACACAATTGACCACTTCCTCAACACGTTTTATGTCCTGATTTCTTTGGTAAAGAATTCCATGTTTCTCTTACTTCTCTGTCCATTTTTTCTGTCTCCTTCACCTGCTCGTCTTGCTGTGCTTGACACGTAAATACTGGAGTTCTTCAGGACTAGGTCTTTATCTTTCTTCCTTGTCCTTTACCTTTCCTTTTTGTTTTTTTGGAAATCTTATTCGCTGTCAGAACTTTAAATACCAGATGCATGCAGTTGATCCCAAATGTATAACTCCTGTCCAGACTCCTACTGCGAGCACTAGCCTTGTCTGTCCAATCATTTATTTGATGTCTCCATTGGATGTCTCCAAACTTCTCAATCTTACCAGTTGCTGTCGAGTTGACTCCAACTCATGGCAACCCCATGTGTGTCAGAGTAGATCTGTGCTCCATAGGGTTTTCCATGGCTGATTTTTCAGAAGTAGGTCATGTCTAGAGCCTGAGAGTAGCTGATTTCTCTGTTCTCCATGGCAACAGCCTCCCTGGAGCCCCTGACTTAGGACAGCTGACTCTTTCAGCATCTTCCACACGCAGGACAATCACTCCTATGGGCTCTCCACGCCCCTTTATTCTAGGGTCTCAGAAAATAAAAAAGAAGGAGCTAAGGTCTCTCAGGGCAGCCAAAGCTTGATTTTCACAAGGATGTGGCTGTGACTCATTGGCATATAACAGAGCATTTCTGCACTCTGGAACGCAAGGGAATACAGACACAGACACACATGCATGCACACATGCACATGTGCACACATGCTCACACATGCATGCACATACATGAGCACACATGTATACACAGCACATATGTCCCTTTTTCCCTGCCCACCGTTGTCGCTGCTATCTTGCTGCTCCTCTTCTATGTCCCTTTTCTTTTTCCAGAATACGCAGATGGCTCCAGCTACTACAACTCCCAGTGCCACAAGGATCAGAGGCAAGGATATTCTCCACACCGTGGGCCAGGACCTTCCAGAGAAGAAAGCTAAAGGGGATTCCAGGGAGTCACATGAGTAAAGAATATTGAAGCAAGGCTAACAGATTAATATGCAACAGGACATGATGTTTACAAACTACTTTGAAATGGTTCAGAAAAAAAATGTATGCATTTGTATAAACAGGTATAGATAGATACATATTATTGTTAGTAGCCTGCAAGTTGATTCTGACCCTGTGTGAACCCATGTGTGCAGAGTAGAACTACTTCATAGACTTTTCAAGGCTGTGACCTTTTGGAAACAGATCACCAGGCCTGTCTTCTGAGGCTCCTCTGGGTGAATTCAAACCCCCAACCTTTTGGATAAGAGTCAAATGCTTAACAGTTTTCACCACCCAGGGACTGATAGATACATAGGAAATAGATAGTAGATAAAAAACCACTGTCATCGAGTTGATTCCGACTCAGAGCAAACCTATAAGACAGGGTAGAACTGCCCCATAGGGTTTCTAAGGCTATAAATCTTTACAGAAGCAGACTGTCACATCTTTCTCCCGCGGAGTGGCTGGGGTTCAAACTGCCAACCTTCTGGTTAGCAGCCAAGAGCTTTAACCACTGCACTACCAGGGCCTCTTAGGTAGTAGATAGAAATTTTTAAAAATGTGGCAAAATGTTAAAAATTGGTGAATCTGGGTAAAAGTTGCACAATTTTTGGCAAAATTTCTGTAAGTTGGAAATTATTTAAAGATAAAAATTTTTTTAAAGTCAATATTGGGGTGAAACGTTCTTGTTCCCTGAGAAAGCACAGCTCTCCTGGAGGCTCTCCTGGCACCCCCATCCACCTCAGTCGTAAGCACCTTAACTCTGCATCTCCCCAGGACCCCCCAAGTCAGGTCTCTGTGGGAAAGGGCATGAATAAAGATCGGCGCCTCCTCTCTCTTGCTGCCTGGCCTTGCAGCTCTCTCAGATGACCCTAATGTCCAGGCCATGACTGCCCTCACTCAGGCTTTTGAAAATGAAGGAAAGAACTGAATAAAACACTAACCTGGTAGATGGCTCGCAGTTACTTTAATCTCAGGGAGAAGGGGGTTGGCAATGGAGCAAGAGAGGCCTTCCGTAGCCCTGTGCTTGACCACCACACTGGATACCACAGCAAAGAGCCCACTTGTAGCCGACACAGACAGATTGGTCACAGAAGCTATTGTGTTTCCCCTGAAATCTCTCCACTCCACCTGGGGCTGAGGGTACCAGCCAGCTGAGGTGCACTCTGCCTGGACACTTTCATCCTTGTCACCTCTCAATCTGACTCTGGGTGGTAAGCCCTGTCCTAAAGAAAAGGATACTGACTTGGATCTTTCCAGCTATTGCTGTTTCCATTAAAAAGAAAAAAATCTTGAGAATTTCCAAGAGGTGCTAGGAATTTTTTACATACTACTCTGTTTAATATTTACATGCAAAATATATTATTATTCCCATTTACAGATTTAAAAAAAAAAGGTTTAGGAAAAGGTTGAGATGAAATAAGCTTCCTATTTCACAAAATTAGTAATTGTGGGAAGCAAGATTGGAACCAAAGTTCGCCTGATTTAAAAGCACAAAGCACCAAGGAAAACTTCTCCCTATATCCCATAACCCTTCTCTCTCTCTCATTGTCTCTTTTTCCCTGCCTCTCTCCCTGACCACTCTCTTAGTGGTATAATGAAGGGAAGAAAAAGTAGAAAATAGAACCATGCGCTGAGAAGTCCATTTCCCAGGAAATACTGCACCTGAAAAAATAGGATTTGCTTGGAAGCATATGTTCTGAAAAGTTCTAAAGCATTAAAGAAATTTTGGCCAGACACCTGATTATCTGGAATTAGGACTGAGACTTTGGCAGAGAAACTTATACTTTGGCTCATATGGAAACAAGATGACCAAGCAAGTAAACCCCTTACCTGCCACCTTCAGCTGCAGTGTGGCTTCCCTATTGTACGTGCCGCCTTTGAAATAGCAACGATATGTCCCATTATCAAACACGGTGACATTGTGTATCCTCACTGCAGCTTTGCCCTTGGTGATGTAGTCTCTCACAAAAGTTGTTCTTCCTTGGTACTCTTCCATCTGCTCTTCGTACACATCCTCCCCTTTCTCATACACAAATACGGCGTCGGAGAAGTTGTCCCTGTACCATCTCAACTCCATGTCCTTGGCACTGATACTGGGGGACAGATGGCATGATAACTCTGTGTCTTCCCCCAGCATGGCCAGAATAGCGTCATCAGGTCCAATGACTTCAAAACTGGTATTTCCTTAAAGAGGCAGATGTAATAGGACTAGGTTAGGCTATCTATGAGAAGATAGAATTCTCCCACCCTTGCCCACATTCATCTTTGAGGATTTAAGTATTCCTTGAATCCTGAACTTCTCTTTGGGTATGTCTCTTCTTACACTGGAACAACCTCCTAGTGTTGGGAAGGGAATGTTCTCCTACCGTTTCCATGTATGACAGCGGGCAGCAGCTGCAGGAAGATGAGGATGATGAAGCAGCTAGGCAGAAAGTCATCTTGAAAATGTGTCTTTGCCATCACTGCTGGGGATAGACAGATACACAGGCCAGCACATCCACACTGATGGGAGAGAAGGCCACCACCAGAGGATTAATAGGAGCAAAGGAAAAATTCCTTCAAAGAGAAATGCTATTTTTAACCATGACTTTCACTCACAGCCTCTAACAAATTATTTATTCTAGAAACAGAGAGACAATGACCTTCTCTGCCCTTCCATTACACAGATAATGTTTGTCTTATAACATAAGTCACAGGAACCCATCCATAAAGTTCCACAAAGACCTCCTTTGGTGTGAAAGAGTTTCATTTTCTTACTACTCATATAAGGGTCATTACCTCATCTCTGGGGCCCTGGTGGTGAAGTAGTTAAGAGCTAGGCTGCTAACAAAAGGGTCAGCAGTTCAAATCTACTGGCTGCTCTTGTCCCTATGGGACAGTTCTACTGTATCCTATAGGGTCGTTATGAGTCGGAATTGACAAAAAGGCAATGGACTTTTTTGTTTTATCTCATCTCCAGCGTTTTACTGTAGTGAAACACAAAAATGCTGGTGAAGAAAACTCAAACTATGATTAAGCAACTTCAAGATCAGAAATACATTCACTGATCCCCTTAAAATCTTCGATTTCTTGTTGTCTCCAACCGGACTTGTGTTTTTGGGAGGATGGAAGCCTATTGGCTCCTCCTTGTTCCTTGTAGGGATGGTCATTCCAAGACACTCTGTAAGTTATATTATTAATTATAAACTCAGTTTAGAGGACGAATGCTCTGAATCATTTCTGCCAGCCTAAGCTATGGGTTGGAACCAACCCGACGACAGTAGGTGGTAAGGTGATTCTATCCAGCACAGACTCACAATAGTGGCATTTATGTGAATAAGATATTACACTATTCATAAACACATTTGTCCTATTCAGACAAGACTATTTAGTTCTTGCCTTTTAGGAAAGCCCTCAGGGTCACCCTGGGACCTGAGGATGGGTGAGTGTAGAGAAGCAGAGACATAGACAAGTGCCCTTAAAATAGAGAATACTCACCCAGCCTGGATCCAGATGCACGCTTTCCAGGGAAATTTTGATGACTTTGAGGGAATCAGTTTAGTTTCCCCGCAAACTCCAGAGGGGGCATAATTCAAGAGAACCACACTGCTTGAAAGGGAGCTTAGAAAACTGACTTAAGCAGCCAAGTCCCCCAGTTTCTGTAGAATCTTCCTTTGCGAAAGTAACCAACTGTGCCTACTTGGCAGGTGCAAAGGGAAAAAAATAAGGGCTTCCTAAGGGTTGTTAACAGTTTTGAACATTTTGAGGGTTGAGATGAAAGACCCTGGCAGCAGGAGATAAGCAAATAGATGGACACAAAATGGCGTACCCCATGGAAGGATGGCTATCAGGGACAGCACGGGGGCCTCCACCAGAAGCCCCATGGAGGAGACATGCATCATGAGTGTTAGGATCCAGGCCAAAGGCAGAAGGTGGAGAATTCAGATAAAGCTTCTTGGTTATCAAAGGAGCTTCAGTGTTGGCCAAGCTAGTACCAGTCCCTTGGGAAAGTTTTTCATGATCAAGTTGAAATTGGTTAATTATAGCATTTTCCAAGGAGACACCTGCCAGAAATTCAGACCCTTGTGGGTAGTAGAAGTGGCTCCCCACTTTCCCTCCCTTGCCTGTCCCCTCTGGCCATGTGCTCCTGGAACTTGGTGCACACAATCTAATGAATGGAAGCCTCACATGGACCAGGCTTAGAGCATTCATCTAGACTCCTTGCATCTGAAGAAGATGCTTAGCTCAAGCACATCCCCTCCCATTCTTCCCTACTAACTCAAAAGTGTGGATATTTTCCCGAAAGGGGTTTAGTGAGATATGAGGTATAGGAAATGGTTCTGTGGTATTCTTGGAAATCGGTTGTTACTTGATTCAACAGATACTTGTTAAGGGCTACAGTTTGCCCTCTCTGTTCCAAGGGATATGGAGGAATGAGAGATTTATAAGATAGAATGCACAAGAAAGGTTTAATTAGCACAAGGTACAGCAGAGCAAATGTCAGGAGGTGGTGGTGGTGGATTGCTGGTGGTGGTAGGATTAATGCTCCAGTGTGAAGGGAAAGTCACTGTGCCTGACCAGGTAGCAGGAGTGCAGGGGCACGGCAGGCTCCTTAGTGAGAAAGAGGTGTGAGGCTGTCCTATTAGCCCTAGACAGGATCAAAATCAATTCTTCTCATGGAAACGGGAGCTGAGAGTGTCCTCTTCCCATTCTTGTTTAGTCTTGAGAAGTGTGCAGTGGTGGAGTCAGGGGGAATGCTCATGCAGGGGCTAATACTACCAAACCCCAAACGCAAATTCTCTCCCACTGTCCTCCTTAGGTGGAGTTTCTTTTTGGTAAGCAAGTGTTCCTCCTTCCACCTGTCAATATACAGGGATTACGCCTATTATTTGTTTACGTCTTACCATGAGTTCTTTAACCAGATAATCGCATCATCTGAAACTCAGCTAAGATATACATTTGAGTTGGTAAGGTCTTAGGCTTTAACAATCGAGCAGAGAATACCTAGAGAAAACTAACAGAGTGAACTGTAATAAAAAGCAGTATGTGATAGCTATGTGATACTTGCTGTAGGAGAATGACCAAGTGCTATGAGTATTCAGACAAGTGGATCAGAATTAACTATGAACTAGAAAGCCATCCCGAAGGAGATGTAGGCCTCCAAGTCAACAAGTGGGTCACCAAGACAACGTGGTTCTCTTCAGCTAATGCATGGTCCAGAATGTTTTAGCTGGAGCAGCAAGAGCTAGGAGAGACACATGGGAGACACGTTCATCTCTGACTCTCCTCAGTCTGAATGTTTAAACTAAGATAGGGATAAAACAAAAAAAACCCATTGCCATCAAGTTGATTCCAACTCACGGTGACCCCATGTGTGTCAGAGTAGAATGCACTGCGTACAGTTTTCAATGGCTGTGATCTGAGGGAAATAGATCCCAGGTCTTTCTTCCAAGGTGCCACTGGGTGGATTTGAACCACCAACCTTAAGGTTAGTTGCTGACCTCAAACAATTTGCACCACCTAGAGACCCTGAGATAGAGATATTATTGTTGTTAGGTGTCATTGATTCAATTTTCGACTTCTTTATGGGAGCAGATGACCAGATCTTTTCTCCTGCAAAGGGGCTGTGTAGGTTTGAACCACCAACCATTCAATCAGCAGCCGAGTGCTTAACCATTTCGCCACCAGGGCTCCTTCGGATATACCGAAAAAGAAAAAAAGTTACCGTGGAGTCCAAAGGCAAGGATAATATGGGGAACGTAGACACCAAAGGTCACATATTGTGTGATTCCATTTATATGAAATATCCAGAGCAGGTAAAGCCACAGAGACAGAATGCAGACTAGTGGTTGCCAGGAGCTGGGGAAGGGGAGAATGGAGAGTGACTGCTAATGGGTACGGGGCTTCCTTTTGGGGTGATGAACATATCTGGGAACTAAATAGAGGTGAGGTTGCACAACTTTGTGAATATACCCATCCCCACTGAAATGTTCACTTTAAAGTGGTTAATTTTATATTATGTGAGTTTCACCACAGTTAAAAAGAAGGGCTGTGCCCACCCCCTTGTGGATGGGTGGAAGTTAAAAACTAAATAATAAAATAAAATATATTTCAAAAAAGGAAAAATTTTTAAAAATTAACTAAAAATTTCATCAACTTTATTAACATGAATTTTGATGGCTCTTTGGTGCCCCCTGCAGGAGTGTGCTATGTCAGTCTACCAGGACCTCTTCATAGCTTCTTCTGGAGGTCCCCAGAACAGGAATGATTTTTTGTCTGGAACAAGTTGGCTTGTATTTTTTTCCTCCTCCATCTGCACTGGGTCTGATTTCCAGTTTTCCTCCCTGGGCCCTGAGCAGGTTCGTCTGTACTGTTGATTCAAAGCCCCTCTGAAAACAGCTCTACAAGGGCTTTCCCCAGCAGCCCTTCAATCCTACAATTCTGACCATGTCCATGGAAGCAGACCTGGAAGACAAATCACTCTCTTCCATTTCTCCCCCTCTTCTCTATCGTCCTGCACAAACCTCCTACTTCTCACTCCCTGTCTTAGACTGGGTTCTCTAGTGAAGCAAAACCAGTGAAGTGCATAAATATATACAGAGAGAGATCTATATCAAGAAAACAGCTCACGTGATTGTAGAGGCTGGGAAGTCCCAACTCCATGGGTCTGGCTGGAGGTTTCTCCTGACTCATGTAGGTGCAGGGGCTGGTAAACCCAAGTTCGGCAGGTCAGACAGCAGGGCTCTGGCTCACAGGCTGCAGAGTCCCAAGATCAGTAGGCAAGATGGCAGGTGAGTTGCTAGCTCAAATCCCAAGAACCAGAGGTCAGATGAAAAGGAGCCAGCTGCAGGATTCAGAGCAAGCAAAAGCCCACCAGCCTTGCCAGAAAGTCCAACTGTATTGGATGCAGGCCACACCCACAAGGAAACTCCCCTTCCACTGACTGACTACTCTCATGGACTGAATTGTGTCCCCAAAAGTATATCAGTTTGGCTAGACCGTGATTCCCGGCTTTGTGTGACTGTCCACTATTTTGTCATCTGATGTGATTTTCCTATATGTTGTAAATCCTACCTCTGTGGTGTTAATGAGGTGGGATAGGCAGCAGTTGTGTTAATGAGGCAGGACTCTATCTACAAGATTGGCTTGTGTCTTGAGTCAATCTCTTTTGAGATATAAAAGAGAGAAGTGAGCAGAGACACAGGGGAACCTCATATCACCAAGAAAGCAGTGCCAGGAGCAGAGCACGTCCTTTAGACCTGGAGTTCTTTTGAGAAGCCCCTAGTCTAGGCGAAGATAGATAACAAGGACCTTCCTCCAGAGCCAACACAGAGAGAAAGACTTCCCCTGGAGCTGACTGCTTGAATTTGGATTTTTAAGCTACTATACTGTGAGAAAATAAATTTATCTTTGTTATAGCCATCCACTTGTGGGATTTCTGTTATAGCAGCACTAGATAACTAAGACAGCTACTCACATCAGATCCCATCATGGAGGTCATCACATTATATCAGATCTCATCCTGGAGGTGATTACATCATTACATAACTGCCAAACTACATAATAACTGCCAAGCCACTGAGAATCATGGCCCAGACAAGTGGACACACAACCTCAACCACCACAGTCCCCCTTGGACTGTGTGCATAGAGTTTATTTTGGATCATCTGAGCATTTAAATGGGTATTCTCTTTAATCACTGATAATTTAACTCCACTCTGTTTGGATCATAAACAAATTCTCTGAGGCTTTACAACTTTTATATACATATTAGCTAGTCCAGAATTCAAAGTGTAGCTTGCAGGAACTATGTTGTTGGTAGGTGCCATCAAGTCTATTTTCAACTCATAGTGACCATGTGACAGAGTAGAACTGCCTCATAGGGTTTTCTAGGCTATAATCTTTATGGGAGCGGATTGCCAGATCTTTCTCCAATGGAGCCACTGAGTGGGTTTGAACTGCCAACTTTTTGTTTAGCAGCCAAGAGCTTAACTGTTGGCCACCAGGTCTCCTTCACAGGAGGTATAACCTCCTCATATTTTCCCTATGTCTCCCATTTCTTGAAGTGAAAAATTAATTTTTCTCTTTATTCTGTAAAATGTTATGTAATGTGGCTGAAAGTTCCCCCTTATAACCAGATCTGTCAACAAGTCCCTCCTACATGGAAATTTCAGAGCTGCCTTTGTGTTTTATGCTTTCGAAACAGTATCTGTCAAATGAATAAGGGATGAGTGCCATAGAGAGTAAAAACCATAGCTTTGCCGTTCCTGAGGAGACAGGACTCATGGGAGCAAAAGGTAAGGCCTGGGTCCTTTAGGATGAAGAGGCGGTTTAGCAGGGGAGAGAGAAAGAAGGGTTTGGAACTTTATGACATGAGACGAGAAGGAAAAAATGAGATGGGATTGAGCAAACGTTTTGGACAGAAAAAGAACGAAAATCAATGACATAAATGAGGTTGGGTTATTTAGTCCCAGATAGTAGTTATTCATTCAAAACATCTTTCTTGAGCACTTTCAACATCTCAGGCACTGCTCACATCCCTTGCGATGCACTAGTGAATAAAGTGAACAAAAATACCCTGACCTCAGGAGCTTACATTTCAGTGAGGTAGAGGGGCACATTAGCAAGGTCTGTGGCAAGTGAGATGATTGGAGGAATCCATGGAATTCCTGAGTGAATTTTCTAACAGAAATTGCAGAATATTAATATATCTTTTCTTAAGGATT